GCGATCACTTTGGACACCAGAGAGCCTCCGTGTGCAGCTTTGGGGACCAGCTCGGTCATCAAGGACTTGCCCTCCGGGGCGGGGTACAGGATCTGAGGAGAGTTGTCGTTCACATCCGATATGAAGACACTGACGCTCACGTTGCTGCTGAGCGGAGGAGAACCGTTGTCTCTGGCCATCACGTGGACTTTAAAGCTCCTGAACTGTTCATAATCAAACGACCTCACAGCGTGGATCACCCCCGTGTCTCCGTTAACAGACACATAGGAGGACACCGGGGCACCGTTCACCTCACCAGGTAACACAGAATAAATCACTGTACCGTTTTGTCTCCAGTCGGGGTCTCGAGCAGTGACGGAACATAAAGTGGAGCCAGGTTTGTTATTCTCACTCACATATGCGCTGTAGGACTGTTCCTCAAACACAGGTGGGTTGTCGTTGATGTCTGCTACAGATAACTGAACAGTTTTAGAGGAGGACAGAGGTGGAGAGCCCTCGTCAGTGGCAGTGATTGTAATGTTGTAATCAGACACCAGTTCACGGTCCAGTTGTCCTGTGGTCACCAGGGAATAATAGTTTTTAATAGAAGGAACCAACTTAAAGGGGACGCCTTGTTGAATGGAGCAGCGGACCTGTCCGTTAGTCTCAGAGTCTCTGTCCTGCACGTTAATGATGCCCACCTCTGTACCAGGTGACACGTTCTCGGGTACAGGGCTAGACAGCGATTTTAAATTGATTTCAGGTGGGTTATCATTAACATCTGTGATGCCAATTATCACTTTGGAATCGGACGTAAGTCCATATCTATCTTTGGCGTTTACGCGCATTTCATACATAACCTCTTCCTCAAAATCCAGTGGCCCTATAACTTTTATTTCTCCAGTGGTTTGATTTAAAGCAAACACTCTTCTACCTTTTTCTGAGATACGACTTAATTCATAAGTCACCTCACTGTTTAAACCTTCATCTGCATCAGTTGCAGCCACTTTAACCACGACAGTATCTAAAGGAGAGTTTTCAGGAAGCTTGGCTTCATACAGTGCCTGGCTAAACACTGGCGCATTATCATTAGCATCCAGGACAATCACATGGACAGTTGCAGTGCCAGTTCTTTGAGGACTACCTCCATCTAGTGCGGTGAGCACTAATCTCAATTCTTGCTGTTCCTCGCGGTCTAACTCCTTATCCAACACTAGCTCTGCAAATTTACCACCATCGGATTTTGACTGAATTTTTAGCGCAAAATAATTGTTCGCCTCTAACAAATAGCTTTGAACGGCGTTTTGGCCAATATCCACATCATGTGCTTCAAAAACACGGAAGCGGGATCCCTTCACAGCCAATTCGTTTATCTCTATCCTGATTTCATCTTTAGTAAAAACAGGGTGATTATCATTGATATCGTGTATTTGCATTGAAACCCGGTGCAACTCCAGGGGGGCCTCCAAGACCAACTCAAATGCAAGGACACAAGATGCCTTTTCGCCGCAAAGCGTCTCTCGGTCAATTCTGTCAGCTACAATCAAATCCCCTGTGTTAAGATTTATGTCACAGTACCGTTTACGGTTCAGCTCACTGTCAATTCGCGCATTTCGAGCAGATAATTTCCCCACGTTCAGCCTGAGGTCCCTTGCTATATTTCCTATAACAGATCCACGTTTCATTTCCTCGGGAACAGAATAGCTTAAGTCTCCGTTACCGATGTGAAGCAGCTGAAGAAAGAAAGCCACGCTGAACAGCAGGCCGAGCGCTGCACATCCATTGTGTGCCATGCTGACGCAAGAATGAAAAAGGGATTTAAAAACACTGAATGCTGTTAATTATCCCCGTGCAAAAACCTCCACGGTCCAGTAAAACAATCACACACCAGTTGTACTGACAGTGAATTTCTAAGCCAAGTGCTGAGCAATAAAATCCAACACTTTAATTTCGCAAGGAATCAACCCTACAGAAACAAAGCACGACGAAGGGGTGGGGAACCGTTTCCTCCGCTGGTCAACAGCGACACTACGAGTTCAACTTCATCTCTGCATGAGAAAGATCAAGATATTTTATACAACATAATGATTATCTTGTCCGTTTCACAGTATGTGGACACTAATCCACGCGCAAAAGAGTCAGTTAAGTCAATGTATAAACCGTTTTACTAGAAAGAACAAACATATTATCTGAATGAAATACAGTATGACAAATGAGTCAAAAAGGCAGCTCACGTTTACAGGCTGAGTTAGTAGTCGAATTTGCAACAATACAATAGAAATAACTGGGGGCAGACTGCATAATCAGTCGTTTTTAGAACTGGTCCAAAGCATCTTATCTCTGGAAAAAGACCTCCATGTCCAGTAAATTCAGCACCCACTACGAAATTCATAAGTGACAGTACCAGAGAGACAGTGAATACATAAAGTCTTAGAGAGATGAACCGAAGAGCAAAGTGTTAGAAATGTAAAAGCATAATGTTGCATACTAGGGGCCAAATTAAAAACAAAACAAATTATATGCTATACACAGTCATAATTGTAACATTACAAATATTCAAGGACTTGAACGACCCCTAACCACAAAGTTAAAATGGAAAACTAAACTTAATTAGGTGTACTGTCATGAACATTATTTGTAAAACTCGGGCAAACACCATGCTCATCAGGGTGTGTTTCCATGGTTTTGCAAACATTTCGTATAAGGAATTAAATTGTCTTCAAGTATTATGAGAAACAAATTACTTAAAAGAAAGTGGGGCTGCATGAAATCAGTTTTGAAAGCACTACATTGCACGATCTAGGACAAAAGTAGGATTTGTTTACACGGAGGAGGACGAAGCAGAAAAAATGGTCCAAGGAGGGTCTGTGGTTCTACACTACAGAATGATTTAAATGACATACTGCTTAATACTGAATAAACAGGGATCGGATTTTAAAACTTGTCAGTGATAGATCGCTAGTGTTATCTGGTGGAAGAACTGTCCCCTCTCCACTGAGAATAACGCTTTAACGACTGGCATGTAGATAGGTTGGTTTTGGGTATCTGTGCTAGCTGGCTCGTCCATCAATGTAAAGTAGTGGAGTAAGTCTCCTCCTACTAGTGTGTGACTTATGCTTCTTTGATTTTATTCTGTGACAGTGTATTTTACCCTGTACAGAGCAATACATATTTCTCAATCATATGCTGAAAAGGTGATTTTACTAATTATATTTGTGTTGAAGTCAGACATGTTCAAGGTGGATAATCGATCCATAGTCAAAGTCAAGTGGCCTCTTCCCCTCTTGTTCCTCTCAGGTTGATTATGACATATTGAAAAAAGCATTGTGTGCTAGTCATACGAATTCATTGCTAAACAAATAAATAAATCTGTCCCTACGTGGTTCTAAAACTGAGTGAAAACTTGACATTTTAGGCCAAAAACAGATGTTTTGTATAATTACCTCTTAATATCTTTAAGCCTGGATGAGAGGACAATTGTTTCTAACTACCCAGCCTTGAATAGATATCATTAGACATTCACAGATGAGAAAAAAAACCCTTTCATTCCTTCATAGGAATTAAACTTTTTTTCCATGAAAGTAAACTGAATTATGAGATGGGTGCTTTCTTTACCAGAACAGTGAACTCTGACATAACAATATTGTGGCAGGCAGCATTGAGCCTCATCTCCAACAATACTCTACAGAATATGCTCGAAATGCTTCCTCTCTCACAAACAGGTGCATCACTTTACATTCCCCAGTTAATGTTGGTGTACTTGTTTAGGTGTTTATTTATGGAGTAAACTGTATTTGGTGTAGACCTTCGTAATTATTATATAAAGTCTAAAGGGTACTGGTATCATTACGTAAATACTTGGGTGTTATTTAACAAGAACACATTTGACAACAGCTGCCTATAGCAAAGCAAAAGTAGTTACGGTTACCTCAAAGAATAAAACTTTAAAAATCAGTTACTTTACAGCAAAACAATACAATGAAAAAAGAAATTCCTCATATTTCCAATTCCAAGAAAAAAGTATAAAAGGCAACAATTAATATTTGATAAATAAAACGATTCCTACCTCTAGTGATCCATCTGACTCTGTGAATATATTTGCAAATTCAGTTGGACTTTTCTTCAGAGTCTCGTCAGCAGGGAGTGTTTCGTCATTGTATGACGTCACAAACTTAAAGTCACTGGTTCGAGAACCTGTTGTCAGGTATGCGTCATAGTTGTAGGTGCTGCGTAAAGTTCCTGTGCCGTCAACATCTGCGTAATTAGGAGGGAGATAAGCGCTGGGGATGGCGACTGCTCCGTCAAACAACAGTCTGGGCTTCCTCCTGCGACAAAACCTCACACCCAGGATGATGATGATGAAGGTCAGAAAAAAGGTGGACACACACACCAGCGCGATGATCAGGTAGGAGGTCAGTTTGGAGTTCTTCTCATCATAAGAAATGTCCTTCAGCTCTGGCACCTCAGCCAAGTTATCAGAAATCAGTAAGTACATGGAGCAGGTGGCAGAGAGAGAGGGCTGTCCGTTATCTTTCACCGCCACAATCAGGTTCTGTTTCATGCTGTCAGACTCAGAAATGTCCCGCTGTGTCCTGATCTCTCCACTGTGGACACCAATAGTGAAAAGGCCCGGATCAGTGGATTTCACTATATGATGGGACAGCCAGGCGTTCTGTCCGGAGTCCGCGTCCACCGCGATCACTTTGGACACCAGAGAGCCTCCGTGCGCAGCTTTGGGGACCAGCTCGGTCATCAAGGACTTGCCCTCCGGGGCGGGGTACAGGATCTGAGGAGAGTTGTCGTTCACATCCGATATGAAGACACTGACGCTCACGTTGCTGCTGAGCGGAGGAGAACCGTTGTCTCTGGCCATCACCTGGACTTGAAAGCTCCTGAACTGTTCATGATCAAACGACCTCACAGCGTGGATCACCCCCGTGTCTCCGTTAACAGACACATAGGAGGACACCGGGGCACCGTTCACCTCACCAGGTAACACAGAATAAATCACTGTACCGTTTTGTCTCCAGTCGGGGTCTCGAGCAGTGACGGAACATAAAGTGGAGCCAGGTTTGTTATTCTCACTCACATATGCGCTGTAGGACTGTTCCTCAAACACAGGTGGGTTGTCGTTGATGTCTGCTACAGATAACTGAACAGTTTTAGAGGAGGACAGAGGTGGAGAGCCCTCGTCAGTGGCTGTGATTGTAATGTTGTAATCAGACACCAGTTCACGGTCCAGTTGTCCTGTGGTCACCAGGGAATAATAGTTTTTAATAGAAGGAACCAACTTAAAGGGGACGCCTTGT